GCTTGCCACCTGTTTTCGTCTTAGATCAGACTAGTTTCAAGCATTCAGTGAAATACAAAATTTTATTATCACACTTGCTGGAAATGTTACTTTTTGGCGACACAAGAAGTAAGAAAATGTTTGGTTTTTTTTTACTTTGTGATTTGCGTTTTCTCCTTTAGTAAAGCCAAGCCGACTTAAAAAAAAATTTTTTTTTTTTAATTTGTTACGATTTGTTATGCATTTCAGAAGAGATCTGCGATTACATTGAGGAAATATATTTGCCGGATGATTGCTTCATTCTTCTGAAGATCAATGCGAAACGCGTGCGCCTGCTTCAGCTCGAAGTAACAATAACATCGATCGCACAGTGCATATGCAATTGGAAATTGCCTGTACCCGTAAAACCTCAGCAGGTGTTTTTTTTCGTTCGAACCTAAGACAAGGAACTATATCGTTCAGAAAATGCTGTAAAAAGCGCTTTTTTTGCACCCTTTAGCTGTCATTTAGCACAACATCCATAACTCGTTTTCTCAACTTCTTTCTTATCGTTTGAAACAGGTTATGTAGACGATTGCCAACATCTTTACGCAAAAGTTTATGAAATATTTTTTTAAAATTTTCACAATTTTGTCTCCACCTTTATGTGCACTATTTCCTTCCCTGATTCTCTGGTAACAATTGTCGGTGGTTAAAAACACTTAAATCTGAGAATGGAGAGGGAGAGGGATTGATTTTAGGGATTTTTTTCGAAGATGTTTTTTTGCAGATCAGGCTTCTGGGTAAAACCATAATGGCAATTCGACCGCCGGAAGTGGCAAAATGTTCTAAAATGATGGCCATACAGTATCTGAAATACAATATTGGAAATGTTGTAATAAAAGGTATGCCTTTTAATTAAGCATAATCTGTTCCTGTCACTTTTGGGTTGCAAAGTAAAGGCATGCGGCTCTCTGGCAGTCTTATTCATCTTTTTCCACCGGTACTAATCTGAAAATTCCCTACATAACTCCTTTCCTCTGAGAGTGAAGGCATTTAAAAGTGGCTTGAAAAACAGCAGTTTACCAGCAGCATCTGTCGTGGGTGGAGCCCTTTCTCAAAAATTGTTCTGGACCAGAAGGGAATCGAACCATTCCTTGTCACGTCCGGACGCAATGTGTTACCACCACACCACCAGTCCTTGTGCTCCAGGTTGCAGCATCTATTGTGTCTCTGCCTTTCAAGGCAAGTTACACCTTTCTTCGCTTTTTCTTTGTCGCTTTTTCTTTGGAAACCCGAAAGTTGGACAAGCCGCCGCTTGTCCAACTTTCGGGTTTCCAACAACAGCGTCTACTCGGTAGCAAGGCTGTTGAATGTCTCCTCTTCAACGATTTTTTGAGGAAGAGCTCAAAAGGGTTTGGTTCTTCTGGCGTGCTAGTACCAATTTACCAAAAAACTAAAAATGCCAATTTGAAGCATCGGCTGTTGCGGGCTCTGTATGTTCCTAATCAAGAGTGTTTTTGCTGCTTTTACATGGTATACAGTTGCATATACTACAGTAGCAGGCATGCAATGCATTCCACTTCGTTTTGTGCCATATCAGTTTTTTTTCCTCATTTTCTGAATTTTTTTTTATTTATTTTTTGTCAAAAATCAAAGTCAGGATCTCTTCCATACTTATTTCTCAAGAAAGTTAGGGGGCTTGGAAGTAGTCCGAATGGTAGCAAATGCCAACAATGACTCTGCGCTGATATTTTGGGTAAGGCATAAAAACTTTTAGATATCCATTGCCAAAGAGAAATTTGGTTCCTTGACTTAGTTCTTTGAAAAAAAAAAAAAAAATTTAGATCCTTGGGAAAAAAGATTTGGTTCCTTTCGATTTGTAAATCCACAGATTTGTATTAGCGATTTGGGCCTCTGGTAAGCTGCCGCTTGCCATTATTCCAAGCTAATCAGTTCATACTTTTTTGCTGGGAAAGTAAAAAAGAGAAATGTTTAAAGGTCTTCCTGGCGTTGTGCGGTGTGTTATCCATGCAGATGAGAAAAAAGGAGATTCATACAAATTGCTTGTGGAAGGTACAGATTTTCAAGCAGTCATGGCAACAGTTGGTATCGACGGTCGACGCACGTATTTCAACAATGCTCTTACTGTCGCTGAGGTAAGACCTGTCCAGTATTTCTCCTTCGTTTTTTAATTCTACCTCTGTGGTACAGTTTGTCAAAAAAGCGTAGTTTGCATCAGTCCAGAAAAACTTATTTATTCTGAAATCTTTAGGTGCTTGGTATTGAAGCAGCGCGGTCATGCATTATATCTGAAATATTATCCACTATGGCTTCACATGGCATCGGATTGGATCAGCGACACGTGATG